ACGGTTTAAGCGGATAATGTGTGCCGGATGGAGATAATCCTGAGGCTTTACCGGTTACAAGGAGGCGGCTTAAGAACAGGCTCCACTGAAGCGAAGGGTGCATTTGTCCCTTCCACTCTAACCGTCACTGCTGATGCCCTTCTTTCGTAGAATCATAAACGCAATAAGTGCAAATATTGGAAGTTATAGTACAAAAGCATGTTGGTACAGCGTTGACAAATGTTATCTATATTAGTAGGTACTGTGTTAATTTAAAAAAAAAAAATCGGTTGTCTGTAATGTCGGTTTACTGACGATAGTTGAACGTGACAACGTCATAAGAAAATACTGATGGAATAGTTTCATTTTTCAAAAGAAAATTTTAATTTTATTTGTTTCATAGATATTTTGTATGGATATAGAGAAGGAGGTAAATGGAAATCACAATTGAATTGATCAAGTTACATTTATTTGTACGCATAAATACAATTGTGTCAATTTTTATTTATTTTTTTTTTCCAATGTACATAGTTTTTACAAGTATGAATGTGCTTTGAGCAATTGTTTTACAACTTTTATTTACAACTTTTAAACATCATTAAAATTTTTGTAACTCTAGCTTCAATTCAACTATATATCACTGAACATATATTTAATATCGAAAGAATCATTACCTTTATCGCCGCAATTAACGTTGCTATAAACAATTGACACCACACTCACTTTTCACTGCACTTCATACTTGACGAAAACTTGTAAATGTATTATTGTATAGCAGCTGTCCACGCGGATGCATCGCTCACTTAAGTAGGAGAGAGACAGATGTCGAACGCTGCCGAACGCGGAGGCCGATTGTGCCTCTTTGTCGTTCGTTCCGCGCTCTCGCTTGCACTTCAAGCCTTAAATGGAACGCCTCAGAGCGAGGTAACGCCGTATGAGTCATGTTTTTTCGTGCGTGCAGCCGCTTCCATCGAATTATAAGACGTTGTCACGTCAAAAGATCGTTGTATTTTCGTGTAGCTTTCCCCTTTTTGACTATTTGTGACTCGTCAATGATTAACTATAATAAATAACAGAGAAGTACTCTGAACACTGTTTTAAAAATAAAACGAGGAATGTTATAGTAAGGAAGAACGATTGCTGTTTAAAAAAGTATTCTAGAAATTTTGGATAGGGAGACCTTGCAATCGCTATGTTCTTTTAAAATCAAGGCAGTATTTTTATTATTAACGACTGCTACCACTCCTTGAAGACAACCAAGGGACAACTTACTGCTATCTTAAGTACGGCAAAATGGGACAGGAGAACTAATGTAAGTTCTCCTTACCTCCGCCTCCATGAATAAAACTAACGATAAATGCCAAGTTGACTGATAAGCTTCGTTTGTGTAATCTCCGCAAGGGGGCTTGTTTTGGGTTGCATATCAACCACCAGAAATACGTTTTTCCTGTTAAAACTGTATTATGAGAACGACTATTTTCCGAAATGGAACCGTATGCCACTGAAATCGTTACAGTCATATTAGATAGAACTCGATTATATATATTTGTGCACATATGTATGTATTTCTGTTTTGCTGGTATATATTATGCAAAAATGCAAACATCAACACTGAGAAACATTAGCAAAATTAAATTCTTAATTAGATTAAAATAATTCGAAGTGGTCTGTATTCCGTCGAAACTGCCAGACGCGGATCGCGATTTCGATCTTTTTGGATCTATGGATATGGATATATGGATATCTACTTGCTGAAACGAATCCCGACGTAGCTAACCTATAAAATAATTCGTTATTTATTTTATTCGATTATGATAACGTGCCTATCACGTTGAGGTTAGCTACGCCTGGATTCGTTTTAGCAAGTAGATATCCATATATTTAAATGGACCTTGTTGGGGCATACACAATCCTAAAATGTAGCACCGTACTGCAGATGGCGTTTGCTTCGCCATTTGTGGTATTTTCTTAATTAGATTGTTGCAACCTTTTTGAGTGTTGATCACGAATCGAGGTTGTAGATTCTGTCCCGAAAAAATTTTAATCAGCGCAGCGTAATAAACTATGGCAATGAAACAATGAAGTACAAAGAATAACAGAAACAGTGAGTTATTAGATTGCCAAAGTTCTTTCGATTTACAACATTCTTGAAGAAGCCACCACAGGTGAATCTGGAGGGGGCGATAAGAGTAGTAGCTCCTCCTAAGACTTGACTCTGGAGCAACGTTCTTGAATTCAGCACTCCCGTGCGAAATTTAAAAACCCAATTACACAAAACATTAAACTTAAGCGATTTAAACCTCATTATCTTATAACCTGCGGTATTGACAAAACAGTATTGTATGAAAATAAATAAAAGGAAAACAAAAACACTGGTATGCAAGAGAAACAAAAAGTAAGGAAAGAGCGAATATAAAGATAGGAGACAAGAAATTAGAAGAAGTGACTGATTTTAGGTATTTAGAAAGTCATATACGTCAGGACGGAAGGAGTAGTAGTGATATAAAGCAAAGGATACTGCAGGGTCGAGTAGAAACTTCTATGCTCGCGAATGGTTAATTTAAAAATTCGAAAAAAATTGTTGAAGGTGTATGCCTGGAGTGCGGCGCCGTACAGGTGCGAAACATGGACGGTGGGCGCGACGGAAAAGAAAAGGTTAAAAGCGCGTCCGAAATATGGTGTTACAAGCGAATGATGAGGATAACGTGGATAGAGAAGGTTAGAAGTAAAGAGGTATTAGAAAGAATAAGAGAATAAAGAACTCTATGGAAGTCAATAAGAAATAAGCGAGATAGGTTAGTCCTTCTCAGACATGAGGTCTAGTCAGAGACATTTAGAGGCAGAAACGGGAGTTGAGGAGTAGAGGTAGACCTAAATTAGATTACTGTTCGCAAATAGTTAAGGATGTGGATTGTTTCAGTTTTGGGGGAAATGGGAAGATTAACTCAGGATAGAAAAGAGTGGAGGAACGTGTCCAACCAATCTGAGGAGTACCGACCTTATGATGATGATCGTATAACCTAAGTGTTTTAAACCTCTTCACCTAAATTATAAATACGCATACAAGTCCATAAGGTGAAATTTTTAAAACGGGTTACCCTATAACGCAACATTTTTAAACATTATATTCCGCCGCGGTAAGTTATTTCTATATCATCATATCAGTTAAATACATAAACGGGTTAATTGCTGTCCTCCAGGTTACTGGGTTTAAATAGCTTTTACTATAAAGTCGCGGGGTACAGAACGCTTTTTTAAATGTCCTTATATCCCTTTTTTATCATCCCTCTTCCCCCAAAAATCTTCTGAATTCACCCCTAAAAAGCAAATTTTATTCTCCCTAACATTCGACTTGCTGACATGCATTAGTAACGCATATATATACGTGTTTAAAAAAAAAATTATATTTGAATCACGTGATGCCGTTTTAGGGAAAGAAATAAATTATTTCGCTGTTTTTAAATTATAGATCGCGCCAACTCGACAGAACGATCAGTGAATATTGGTAAAAGAATTTCAAAAAAAAAAGAAAATGAGATACACGATTCAAGCAAACCCAAACAGCAACTGTTTTGGGCCCCAGCTGGTCTTGTTAAATTTATTAGAGTCCCCAGCTTAGAATTACATTACTTATTGATTTACATCTGTGAAATATTTAAGCTAACGTTCAGTGCTCTATGCAGTTACAAGCGGGTTCAGTGGGTCTTTAAAATGGAGTAGTGGGGCTCATCTAAGGCACATTAAAATGCATTACTTAACTCTTTCGTAGGTATTTAGATCTCATCGCGTATTTCTCCGAAAATCCGAAGGAAAGCATTCATTTCCTTACTCCGTGCGCTCTCACAACAAACGCTAGACGCTTCCAAATCTGTTCCAGTGGAATTATATTACCGAGACACTAAAACTTCTAGAGCAAAGTGTTCTTCCTTAAAATGTATTCTAATTATATGCATGTTTTTCATTTCTATTGTATTGGTAAAATCAGTTTAACATCCCACCTAAAACAGAAGAAAATCACTTCTTGGGATTTACACAATTCACAACCTATCAAATACGTTACAATGTCCTTTAGGTAATAACAGAATAATAAAAATCTAAGAGAACGCCGTAATTTACAGTATCAAATGTGAAAATTACGACAAATGTTTAATTCAAAGACCATTAACTTATCTTACATTTAATATAATAGAAAGAATTAGTGTGGCTTCTAAACGCTTACGAAGGTTGTCGAATATGTAAAAATAGAAAACTAATGAACTCAGATAGCAATTCTACATTCTCTATCTCATCAGATAATTCATCATCATCATTGTCATAGAGTCGTTAGTCCTAAGACGGGTTGGACACGCACCTCCACACTTTCCTATCCTGAGCTAAGCTTTTTCCTAAAACTAGAACATCCCACATCCTTAACTATTTGTTAACGATAATCTAATCTAGGTCTTCCTCCACCCCTCCTAACTCCCGTTTCTGCCTCTAATATGTTTCTAACTAGACGTTCATGCCGGAGAAGGTGTCCTACCAACCTATCCCGCCTATTTGTTATTGACTTCCATAGAGTCCTCTGTTCTATTCCTTGTAGCATCTCTTCATTTATAACCTTCTCTATTAGAAACTAGAACATCCCACATCCTTAACTATTTGCAAACAGTAATATAATCTAGGTCTACCTCTGCTCCTCTTAGCTCCTGTTTCTGCCTCTAATACATTTTTTATTGACTTCCTCCTATTCTCTCTAATATACCTCTTCATTTCTATCCTTCTCTATCCCCGAAATCCTCATCATTCGACGGTAACACCACATTTCGAACGCTTCTAAACGTTTCTTTACCGCCGCGCCCACCGTCCATGTTTGGCACCCTTACAGCGCCGCGCTCCAAACATACACCTCTAACAATCTTGTTTGGAATTTTTAATTAATCGTTCGCGAGCATAGAAGTGACTTCTTTTTATTATTATCAAATTATTAAATTCCACAACCCACTCCCAAACAGAATTAATTATAATATAAAACCAAAAACTTCATACTATTACAATGTATTGCACAAAAAATTAAAAAACGGTACATTTCTCGTAATGGTAACATTGAGTTATTATTAGACAATCATAAATAAATAAAGGAACGCTAATATTAGTGACGTTAACAAGCGTAGATATCACAGTCAAGTTAAAAACTGTTTTCACTGTCTTATCTTTAACACATCGGTCTTATCGCCTCTTCCATTATAATGACTGATTGTGATAGTTCGTTTAAAGCTAATCTCTTTTATCTTTGTTTGGACTACTCTTAAATACGTTTGATAAAACTCGTAATAATTTTCGCATAATGCGCCAAATTAAAATAGCTGAAATAATCAAGAATGCGTATACATCCAACATAAGGTACTGATAGAGTGGTAAATCAAGTGCAGAATTTTTTAGGTAAGGAGCTCCTTGATGCCTAATAACGTATTCCATGTACCACACTATTTTCTCCAAATCGTCCATTGGTTTCTCACGACTTAATTCTGATATTTTTGATATTTTCTCTTTATAACTAAAATTTTTGTTAAATTATCTATTACAAAACATTGTAATCTATCAAATAAATTATTAGTTTACCTCGGATTTCTTATTACTTCTTCTATGCTAGATTTTAGACTTTCAGCCGTGAAAGTTTTGTAATCAACTTCAACGCCAATTTTGTGGTAAACAATCTTTCTTGCGTTGTGATGTTGATCGGCATAGAAAGGCATCCCTATTAAGGGAACCCCGAAATGAATTGCTTCTTCCAAAGACTGAAGTCCAACCTGAGTTATGAAGAGCTTTACATTTGGATGGGCTAGAATTTAATAGCCAGATCATTATTTATTTCCATGTGAATTTATAATCAACTGGATTAAAAAACAAATAAATCCGTACCCAAAACTTCTTGCTGGGGATACCATTTGCTTATGTAAACATTCCCTGGTTTATTAGCTATACTGTCATTTTCAAATTTCCATAGGACAGTATAAGGGAGTTGTGAAAATGCCGTTAACAATTCGTTCTTCTTATCATCGGAAAGTTTGTCACTTTTTATATTTGATCCTAAACTGAAATATATCACTCCATTCTCGGCAGTATCCAAAATATTTTTTAAATCCTGTTGAATTAAACAAATAATTAATGTTTCCACTGTTAATGTTTCAATTATAATGTCATTAAGCCTATTAAAATATTTCTGTTAAGTCGTAATTCAAAACGAGCTCAGTGTATGTTGCTTATTTTACACAGTTCAGTCTAACATCTCTATAACGGAACTTTTTATTACAAACGATTCCCTATAACGTAGGCATTATCTCAGATTGATTGGTTCTTATAACCATACGTGCAAAACTAGAGTTGCAACGGATGTCCGCATCCATACTCATACACTAAAATTCGCATCTACATCCGCTAAAATACATCCGTTAGAAGCCTAGAAGGTATTTATTGTCTAACTTTCGGTAACGAAACGACAACTCTCTTTAACGAAATAATACAAAAACGAAAATGTTATGTCGTTTCAATACGTCCCTTCGTTTATAGCACTTTATATATTCCAATCAGGGAGACCTATCCCTCCATAACATAACCTAAACCCTTGGAACTTACCAGAGATACGTGCAAATACACTCGGCATTTTTTACCAAAAAGTATTATGCCACAAATGAACCAATCGAACTTTATTAATCAATGTATAAATCAATTTAGTTACTTTTCATCATAATGAAAATATCGACGGACATTCGCATTAAGTCTTACAATAGATAATTCCGCTGTGGTTTTGAAAAATTTGTCGTCGTTAGTAATGAGACAATTTTTGTAGGGTCAAATTCAATGAATTAGTTTTTTGAATTAACTGTACCCACTACTGATAACCACAAATTAATGAGAAAAAATTGTTGTCGCTGTCACTCCCTCGCCGGGAATCGAACCCGAGCCCCTGGTTTACTGGGATTCGCACATTTTAATGCACGGGTTCGATACCCGGCGAGGAAGACAGCAGCAACAACTTTTCCTGATTAATATAAGGTTATTTGTAGTAGATAAAGTTAATTCAAAAAATTAATTCATTGATTTTGTCGTCAATCCCAAATTTGTTTCGAATTAGAAAATACTACAAATGGCGCAGTAAACGCCATCTGTAGCACGATGCTACATTTTAGGATTACGTATGCTCCAACAAGGTGCACTTGTTTGGATATCTACTTGCTGAAAACGAATCCCGGCGTAGCCAACCTCAACGTGATAGGCACGTTACCATAATCGAATAAAATAATTCGAAGTGGTCTGTATTCTGTCGAAACTGCCAGACGCGGATCACGATTTCGATCTTTTTGGATCTCATCAGCGCGTCGCAGGCAGCTCCGACAGAACACAGACCAACTTTTACCTGCTGTCTTAACAGTGCGTTTTAGAAAATACTACAAATGGCGCAGTAAACGCCATCTGTGGCACGATGCTACATTTTCAGACCACTTTGAATTATTTTATTCGATTAAGCTAACGTGCCCATCACGTTGAGGTTGACTACGCCGGGATTCGTTTTCAGCAAGTAGATATCCACACAAGTGGACCTTGTTGGAGCATACGTAATCCTAAAATGTAGCATCGTGCTACAGATGGCGTTTACTGCGCCATTTGTAGTATTTTCTAAAACGTACTGTTAAGACAGCAGGTGAAAGTTGGACTGTGTTCTGTCGGAGCTGCCTGCGACGCGCTGATGAGATCCAAAAATAGCGAAATCGCGATCCGCGTCTGGCTGTTTCGACAGAATACAGACCACTTCGAATTATTTTATTTGTTTCGAATTGTTTGTAAAATAATTCTGGATCTGGGAACGATTTTATCCGAGCTAGATTTTTACTTTTTATATTCCACATTTCGCCATAATGGTTTCTTTGAAACGAATAAAATGGCAGACGTATTGGAACGGATAATGTCTATATCGTATCATTGTCTCGTTCAGAAACTCCAACGATGAATAAGTGAAACGTATAAATCAGACTATAACTCTATTTGAATTATTGCATAAATATTGGCGTAAAATAAAACATTCTCTCGTAGAAGCAAACAAATGTCAATTCCATTTATATTCGTTTTATATTCGTATTGATAGCCGATAATAAAACGTTTGTGATGTGATAATAAAAGTTAAATAAATTCAAACAGGCAAACAGTGAGGAACAAAAAATCACGAAGAATTCAAAATAGATCAATAAAAAATAATTAGTACTATCAATAGGTAATACTACCGCAACTGATAAATTATTAAATTCCATTATTCACCGTATTACCTATCTCAGTTGAAGATGCATGTATTCCATAATTTATGATTGCAGTTCAGCTACAGTTTTTGTTCTTTATTGTGACATTAATTTAAATAACTAATATAATTACAGCAAAACAAGACAGGACTATTATAGTTTTGTTCTTACGAGATCGATTCTTGTATTTGCAAGATTTATCGTAACAATTTAGAAAAATTAAAATCATATACCACTATCGTTTATTTTTGAAATTCTAAAATGATTAAAGATGTATTTGGAGTACGACTCCACGTATTGGTGTGAAACGTGAACGACGGACTTGCAGAAAATAAAAAATTAGAAGCGTTTGAAATGTGGTTTCGTAAAAAAATGTTAAATATACCATCGATAGAAATGGTTATGAATGAGGAGGTATAAAAGAATATAGGAGAACAGAGAGGACTTTATAAGTAAGCGATGTAGATTGGTAGAACACTTACCCAGACATTAAGGTCTAGTTAGGGACAGACTAGATTGTTATTCGCAAATAGTTAAAGATGTAGGATGTTCGAGTTTTAGAGGAATGCGTAGATTGACTCAGAAAAGCTCTTTGAGCTGAAGACATTATGATAATGGTGATATAACATGTGTGATCTCGTAACCTTGCAATTTCAAAAGTATCCTTACCAGTGCGAAATTTTTATTTCTTTTGTTTTTCGTTGTTCTTCAAGATGAATGTCGCAAATATGTGCATAAAATTATTTTCTCTTTAGTTTTTAATCGACCGTAGTTTGCAACATCCTGTATATCTCGCAATAAAATTATACACTTATACTATCAACATAGAATATTTGTTGCAAATAAAAATATGCCTCTTTCAATTTTTTTTTGTTTATTTCGGGACATTATTTTTATTCAATTTTCATTTATAAAAAAGCAATAAAAGGCCTGATTTATAATATTACCGCAGTTTGTATATATTTACATCATCATCATCATCATCATAAGGTCATCAGTCCTAAGACTGGTTGGACACGTACCTCCACTCTTTCCTATCCTGAGCTAAACTTCGCATTTCCCTAAAACTAGAACAGCCCACATCCTTAACTATTTGCGAACAGTAATCTAATCTAGGTCTACCTCTACCCCTCCTAACTCCTGTTTCTGCCTCTAATATGTCTCTGACTAGACCTTCATGCCTGAGAAGGTGTCCTACCAACCTATCTCGCCTATTTTTTATTGACTTCCATAGAGTCCTCTGTTCTCCTATTCTTTCCAATACCTCTTCATTTCTAACCTTTTCTACCCACGATATCCTCATCATCCGCCTATAACACCACATTTCGAACGCTTCTAACCTTTTCTTTTCCGCCGCTCCCACTGTCCATGTTTCGCACCCGTACAACGCCGTGCTCCAAACATACACCTTTAACAACCTTTTTCGAATTTCTAAATTAACCGTTCGCGAGCATAGAAGTGACTTCTTTTTATTAAAGGCGACACGACCCTGCGCTATCCTCTGCTTTATATCCCTACTACTCCTTCCATCCTCACTTATCTGACTTCCTAGGTATCTAAAATCAGCCACTTCTTCTAATTTTTCGTCTCCTATCTTTATATTCGCTCTTTCCCTACTTTTTCTTCCCTTGCATATCAGTATTTTAGTTTTACTTTTATTTATTTTCATACAGTACTGATCTGTCAGTACCGCTTCCATTTTATTTAAAGCTATCTCTAGGTCCTCCTTGCTAGATGCTAATACTGCTATATCATCTGCAAATCTAAGCATACTAATCTTTTGCCCTTGCACATCTATCCCTACAGTTGTACTGTCTTTAATGATGTTGATGGCGTCTTCGATGTATAGATTAAAAAGTAGCGGTGACAGTGTGCATCCCTGCCTGACTCCCTTCCTAATATTTACTTCTCTACGTTGCATCCCCAGCTCTATAACTGCCTGTTGCTCTTTATACAAACTAAGTATCACTCTTCTATCTTTGTAATTCATCCCTACATTTTTAAGTATATTTAACATCTTGTCCCATTTAACATTGTCAAAAGCTTTCTCTAAATCTACAAATCCTATGTACGCACTCTTTCCTTTTTCTATCGTTTTCTCTATTGCTACCCGTAAAGCTAGAATGGCCTCCCGCGTTCCTCTATTTCTTCTAAACCCAAATTAATATTAATATTTTTCTTCTATTTTGTAACTGTATTACAATTTTGCGAGAATCTTGCTAAGGAGTCATGCTCTTTGTATTATGAGTCATATTCTTTTAGTCTTGGTTTAAGTCGTACGAGCATAGCTAAGTATTGGTCTTGCTAAATGTGCAACAGTAAGGTTAATGCTATTTCTGTTCATCACTATAGAGAGAAATCATTATTGATCTTTAACAATTTTTTCGTTGTGGCATTATCAAACAACACGTGAATGACATCGATGTTATTTTGTAGTGGTTATTGTTATTGTTATCAAATAAAATAGGCAAAATATAACCAATTCAAGCGTTAACCTTTAGAACGCTCTATTGTATACATTATTGAATGTGATCCCTGGGATTGTTTTGTAAGAAATTTTACGCTTTGCGATTTAATCCTGAAATATAACCTAATTCTTGATTTTTAGGTTACCCAAACGTTTGTTGTTTTAATTACACTAGAACAGGACGGCTCATCGAATTATGGAAATTTAATTCTTATTCATTTAGGGGGCATCCATTAATTACGTGAGCTCAAAATAGGGGGGGAGGAGTCCAACGAAATCTAACCAAATCGCATTTAAACCGAGGGGGGGATAATCGAAAATCTCACGTCAACTTCAAAAAATATAAAATATTACAGATATTAAAAA